TTATAAATTTTGTGATTTGTGACCGATGAACAAATTGTGACTTTCAAATTTTTAATTTGTGATCGATAAACGAACTGTGACCTATAAAATTTTTGAATCGTGACATTAAAATTTTTGAATTGTGATCAAATTGTATAGATCTGCGATCTTTATATATTTATTAATAAAACATATAATTAACTAATTAATTCATAAATAAATTTTAATAAAATCCTGATTTTTGAAATTTAAAACATCTATCCTTAATTTTGAAATGATGATACTTAAAAACCTGATTTATGTATTGTTCCCGTTGAGAAAGGCATGCATGTGGTGGGCTTTGTTCTTTCCTTTTTTTTTTTCTTTTCCTTTTTATTTGGGTTAGGTTGTATTTGTAAATTGTTTGTGGTGTTTTTATCAAAATGTGCTTTAATTGTGAGTGTGTTTATAATGTGGTGTAATAAATAAAAATCATAGTGATAATATATTTACCCTTTCATTATTCTTTACAAATTCTTTAGCCCCTATTGTTTGAGAAAATTAGAATTTTGTATAATACTTTTTAAGAGAATGTGTGGTTAAAAAATAGAAAAAAATTGAGTTTACGTGTAAAATATTTTATTATGTTAATATGTGGTTAAAAATGAATATGTAGAAAAACGATGACTTAATATTTAATAACAAATAGTAAACACACGCTTTACATGTATCGGATCAATGATACGCGTAATATTTTTGAAATACTAAACATATGTTTGGCCCTCATTTTTAATTACGCATTTTCCCATTAAAAAAATTTTACATGTAAATCGAAAAAAAAAATTTATTTTTTAATCACGTATTCTCCAAAAAATCATTATTTTAAAATACATTTTCTTATTAAAATAGAGTTCAAACAGGGGATAATACTGTTTTTCAAAATAGTTGAAGTAATTGTTATTATTAAAGGAAAACTTAATTGTTAAAAATTATATATATAAAGAATTTTTTAATTAAATTATATATATATATTGTGAAAATATTGAATAAACTGAAATTTAATATTTTGATTACAATGATACTTTTTTATACACAATATTTTTTGTCGACATTCTACTGCTTTTCTTGTTTTTATTTTCTGCTTTTACCAAAAATTTTGTTGTTTACATTGTAACTCCACGAGAATGTACGATATATAGTTATCCATGAGAGAATATATGTTTAAGAAGGTATATTCCAATGGTAGGCATTCTTTGTACTTAAAACATTGTTAATGATCATTGCAAAGTATAGATGTATTGAAAATTGTTTCTTATTGGATTTGAATGAATATCCTTCATCATTTGTTAGAGTTAGTGGGATGCATTAAAGGAAAACTTATTTTCCAGGATGATGTCCAATGGTTATATTCCGCATGGATAATATGTCTATTGAAATCACGATAATCATTCTTGTTTCATTGTAAATAACGTGTATGGGTCCAGATTCCTTAAGAGCATCACTTGACAAATTTTTTTAATGGGATACAATTTAACAACAATGTATTCAGGAACTCATCTCAATAAAATTGGTTCGTATCATCCATGCTTCGTTAAAACCGACAAATTATTCACTTTCTTTGAGAAATAAACCAATTAGTTATTCGCTGAGGTAGTCAACGTACTCATTTTTTGTTAAAAGAATTCCATGTCCTATCATGTAATTAGAAGAATCTATATTTTTTTGTTAAACTATGAACACTACATTGATTAAGTGTAATTTCGAAATTTTAGCATGTTTCACATTTTATAACCATCTTCTTGGGCAAGTTGATGAAGTCATCCTCTATGCAAGGTTCTATTACATTACCAATTTAGATCAAGTATTATGGAAATCGATTATCATTTTTAACACGTATATTTTAATTTAGTTGCAGCTTTTCCATTTTATCTCAAATATACGTTCTAACCAAACTTTGATTAATTGTTTATTGTCTTGTTGCTCATACTTGACAAAAATCTCCTCCATATACAAAAAAATTCTACCAAATGATTCTGAATTGTCCAAGACATCTCTTAAGGTTCTATCAACAATTTCTATTAGATTTTTGTAGGCCATTGGTGCTTCATTCCATGTTACGAGCTTTGCATGTCGAATCAATTATGCTTTAGTACGTTGCTTTGATATGCACTACACATTGTTGATTTATTAGTATGGAGTGAAATATCGAATTTTAAATAGGCAATTCTGCCTCCTAGCATTATTGATGATGCTACCTACACCTGAACTTGTAAATGTGTTGTACCATTTTCCATGTTTATAAGTAATAATTGTATATTAATGATCTAAGGATGAGTGTTATATGTTAAAATATACCCAATGCATGAATTATTTAAAATATTTACACTATGGACAATGAAATTTTATGTAATTATATATTTGATTAATAAAAGATTTAAAGATTGTATTGAATTTAAGGATTTAAAACCCTTACCATTCCTTAAACCCACCAAATAAAAAAAGTTTTAATCAATAAGTTTCAAATGTTAAATAATAATTGTATATTAACGATTTAAGGAGGAATGCTGTAAGATAACTAAACACACGAATTGTTGTTATTAATGTAAATTATGAGAATTGTAAGGGTATAGTTGACCAAAAACAAATAGCATAAGGGTGGAATGGAAAATATCGGGGTAAGGGCTTGGGCATATAGCTAAATATAAAAGGATAAAATTGATATGCAAAAGTTTCTTATTATTCATTCCGTTTTAAATACGGTAATTATATTATCGCAACAAATTTTACTTACTACACCACATTATATCTACACCACAATTAAAACATGGCTTCAGTAAATACACCATAATAAATTGACAATTATATACCTAATTTAATAAAAATAATAAAAAAAAGGAGAATATGGGATTTTAATAAATTCATTATGTACCTTTTTATGTTGTAAGCATCCATGGTAGAAAATGGAGCACTAGTCTACGACTACTCTATACAGGATTGGACAAGAAAAGAAGTAGGAAACCCACACTATTCTCTTCTTGGAGCACTAGTCTACGACTACTCTCTTCTTGTCCACATCATCAAGAGAAATGGATAAGATTTTCTTCTCACCCACACTATTTTTTCTTAATTATTTCTTCTCATATGCATTTAATAAATATTTTCATGTAGCCTTTCAGCACTGACACTTACCATTTACCAAGCTACTACTCGACAATATTTGTATAAGGAAAAAAATTCAGTTAAGAAATATTCGAGAAGCAAAATAGTGGAAACAAAAATCCACGAAAAGAAGAGAAAATTAAAATATCAAAAATTAAATTACAATTTAAAAAATATATAATTTCTTAATAAATCTTATACGACCCATAAGTGAGACATGTTAGAGCCTATAATTTAATTGTGAACAATATTTAAATTCTTCTACTCTTAAAATGAATTGACATAAAAAATGCTAATCGATACATAATTATATAGTATCAAAAAATTGCATTTCACATATTGAACTCATTCTATTTGAATAAAAAGGAAAAATCATATTTTAAAAGAAAATTAGGAACTCCGAATTACAAAAAAAGGTACACTGCATCCCAAGCTATGAATATATCAAGTTTAAATGTTACGCATTAGAAAAAAAATACTTAAATTTGTAAACAATGCAAGAAATTAAAATAGCCCGAATTGCAAAAAATAAACGCTTTGATTCATCAACTTACACAACAATCTAGCTAAAGCTTTTTTATTCATAGAAAGCCAAAATTGCAAATATTGATATGTATTAACCTCTTAAATGAATAAATATGATGTGAGGCGAAAAAAAAAATATGTAAAAGTCAGTATTGATTTTTAGGATCAGAATTTAGAGTTTTAGACTAATTACTATCCAAATTATAGTTTTTAGGTTTTGTATTTTTTTACCCATCGTATAAATTATAAATAAAAAATCGATTTTATTCAGATATCTATAGTTTTAGTTTAGGAACCAAGAATCGAACTGAACTCAGTCGATTATCGGTTTTGGTTCCTAATTTATTGTTTTGAGAATAGGATCGAAACCTCCGATTTCGGTTTGCGATGATCAATTAAGGTTAAAATTCCTAGATTGGAATGCACTAGTTGTGGATTATAGGTACAAGATAGATGATATAAAGAAAATGAAGATAAATTATAAAAAAAAAAAAAAATGGAGGATGCCTAGCCCATATTTGGTTTGGAAAGAAAAAATATTTTTATTACATTTCAATAAAGATTGATAAAAAGTTGTAGATCTCGTAAAGCTCTTGTTTGAGCCCTATCTTGAGAGGAAAAGTGGATTTTTGAATAGTGATTTTTGACGAGACTCTAGAGAGCAATCTATGCCCCCATAGTACAAGTTGACTCTCGTTAATTGTCCAATCGAAATGATGATCTTAAATAGAGTAAGAATTTTTTTTTTTTTTTTTACAATTAAAAAGGTATGAACTTTTGTTTGTTTAACAATACAAAAGTACACAAGATAACTATAATAGTTAAAAAACTTTATTACATGTACATCAAATTTTACATGATGGATTATATAATGTCACTTGATAATCTATTATTGGACGATTTAAAATATAATCAATTTTTTTATCCAATCACGTCACTATACGTCATTTTCTGACACTTTTTGGATGTCATTTTTTTAGATAAATAGCATAATCCATTGTAAATTGTGTAGCAATTTGAAAACTCAAATCATTAAACATTGATCTGATTAAATCTTATCCGTTAATTTCTGATTACATCAACCGCTCACAATCACGATCCGAGTCACCAAAACTTGACCAATGCTCTTCATCTTCATATTCCACCACATACATATGTTCCGAAAGCACAATCTACACCGTTAGTTAAACTCCATTCAATCAACGGCTGAAACCCATAATCCGACCCTCTCAAAATCCACCAATACGATTCAATCCAAGGTATCCTATATAAACGCAACCACACGCAAAACTTGTTATCCAACTGTCAACAAATCCATTTAATTACAGTTTAGTACGCTTTACCTTAGTTCTTCATAAATGGCACCGAAGGCAGAGAAGAAGCCGGCCGAGAAGAAGCCCGCCGCCGAGAAAGCTCCGGCGGAGAAGAAGCCAAAGGCGGGGAAAAAGCTCCCAAAGGAGGGCGCGGCTGCCGCCGGAGACAAAAAGAAGAAGCGCACGAAGAAGAGTGTAGAAACTTACAAGATCTACATCTTCAAGGTGCTGAAGCAGGTTCATCCTGACATCGGGATCTCGAGCAAGGCTATGGGGATTATGAACAGCTTTATCAATGATATTTTTGAGAAATTGGCTCAGGAGGCGTCTAGGCTTGCAAGGTACAACAAAAAACCTACGATTACTTCTCGGGAGATTCAGACTGCCGTCCGATTGGTTCTTCCCGGAGAACTGGCAAAACACGCCGTGTCTGAGGGTACAAAGGCTGTTACTAAATTCACTAGCTCTTGAATTGATCATTTATTAGGGTTTTGTTGCCTTTTTCCTTTTGATTTTTTTCCTGTGTTGGTAGGGTTTGAATGTACGATCTGTGATTCTGAATGTAAAGAATGCTATTTGAGTTTTTATTGAATTTGATTTTCTTTGATTCCATTGCCATTGTCTTATTTTATGATCCGATGATAAAAAAAAAAAAAAAAATGATTTGAGATGCTTACAGGTCATCAAAATTAGAAAGAAAAAAAATTACTTGGGGTTTACTTTTTAGAAGGAAAAGAATCTTATACTTTTTATTATTGAGTTTCGCAAAGCATGCTCTATTCTCAATCATTGTTCTACGTAATCTACAAAATAAAGCATGCTGCAAAATTTTCCCTGCACCGCAATCATGCATATAGCAGCAAGATCAATATTTCTACCTTGTAAAGATGACCCAGAATGCAAAATATTAAATGGCCCATATCTGAAGCAATTGAATTCAAATATGGAAAAGAGAGATGAGTTGGGTGTTATTTATTTGCATATTCTTCTTCAGTTTTTGAATTCGCGGGATTATTTTTGAAACTAGTAAACCAAACCATTTTTATTGGGAAACAAATCCTTTTGATGAATTCGTGGGAACTTTGACGGTACATTGAATGTATAAATATTGCGAAGGCCCGATCTTTATTACCAGTAAGAATTGGACCATAACAGAATCTCTAGCCACATTATATCAAATTGGAGAGTTAGATTGGAATTAGAATTTGATAGAGATGGATATAGGCTCTCGTGAGAAGGAAACCGATGCAAGAGAACATGGCCCAATCCAGAAGCAACTACAGGAGACGGTGCAACCACCGGGAGGTTTAAGATCACATCTCCAATTACAAAATTCATGCCGAGATCCCTTATTTTGAAGGGCACACATTGAGGACTTCCTAAAGTGGATTCAAGCCATGGAAATTTTTCTGAATGCATGGCTGTCCGGTGTCCCTGCACGCAAGCAAGTCTACAAACTAAATAATTGAGGGCTAGGTTCTTTCCCTGTGATTAGAGCCAAATTTTACATAAAAAGTACCGTAAGGTAAACAAGGCAATCAAAGTGTCGACGAGTATACTAAAGAGTTCTATAGTCTCTGCACGAGGATCAAATTAATTTAGTATGAACCGTTACATGTGGCAAGGTACATAGATGGATTGAAGGAGTCAATTCAAGTGAGGCTCGAAGTGAAATCAATCTGCACATTGACCACAGGTGTTAGTTTAGTATGAGAGCTGAGTTCGAAATTTCCAAGTCTGGAGCAGGATCCATTAAAGAAGGTTTCTTCAAGAATGTGTTGAACATCCAAAAGCTCCAATTGCAGAAGATATCAAACCTGCACCTCAAACTGTTGACGCTAATGTTGCTGTAACCCAATCAAAATCTGATGGCAAATAACCTTTACTACCACCCGAAAGCGCTAAACTTGCTGGGACCAATACTAAGACTGTTAGATAGACTATCTTCCACCCAAAGAACAAACCATATGTGAAAGTGAAACCCATGCCCATTAGGTGCCACAATAAAAAGTTCGCTCTTCATCAGGAGATTACTTGATAGTGGTTGCCTCTAGATGAAGTAATGAAATGCAGATTCAATTGGCATCTGCATGCTGGTGTTGTAACCAGTTGGAGACAGTTCATCATGTTTTTTTTTTAATTAAATAATATGAAAATCAGAAGAAATAATTTTTTTTTTTTTTTTTTTATAACCGTGGATGTCCGGGCCAGCTTGCACGCACCTCGACTAATTCCACGAAAGTTTACAACCGGGTACTCACCTCAGTGGCCCTGAGGGGATTCGAACTGGTGACCATTGGGGAGCAAACCCAAGGCCTGACCAATTGAGCAACCCCTCATGGTTCAAAAGAAATAATGAAAACTTGCTCATCAACAACGAGAGCTAACAGGTATAATGCAACTCAAAAAATTGAAAAGCATGCTCTTGGGAGGAGAGTATATTTTCCACAAATCATATTACTAGGTCATCATACCAAAGTAGCAGAGAGGATCCTGGTCCCTCTTTTCTTCGTTTCTTTTTTCGGGGTGGGGAGATATGTAATATGATATAGGGGCCATCCCCAATTTACATTCTAACATTTAGGGGCCCTCGTCATTATAACACACAGCAAGTGCTGAAAATTCAGAACAATTCAACGTATTAAATGAGAGAAAATGTCTAATAGCATGCCTAATTACATTGGTAGCATCATTATTTGATGAATGTACAGGATACAGCTTTAGATCCAGAAAAAAGATCATAACTGACCCAGAAAACTGTCAAAAATGGAAAAAAATATTAGATGACATAGTTTACGTGAAATCACTATGATGAAATTTTTTAATTTATCATAAAGGTTTGCAGTGATTTAAAAAACCAAGAGTTGGGTACCTCGTGACCAATGCTTTCTATCCATCCCATGGTATTTATCATCATCCTTCAGCATTTCCTGCAAACTCTCTCTGAAATTGAGCAATTTCCTTCACGAGTACCTTGAAAAGAATGACATTAACACGAAGAAAACCTAGATCATATCGGGGGTAATGGAAACCAAAAAATGACCGACTATTGATGGAAACAAACAGACACTAAATGAATTTGTGGAACACTTGCAATACCCAATAAGTATATGCTTGGTGCATAGCATTGGGCAGGACTCCATAGTAAATAAGAAAAAGAAACTAAAATCTTGTTCATGGTAGTGCATAGTCCCCTGCAGCACTTCTTACCAACATGTTGTTCCCAACTACATGTCCATGGAAGTAAACTACAGGCATATTAAGAGAGACTCCTTCCACTGAATCAATGGGCAGCTCAACCAGAGTTGCAGCGATGGATCACTCAGTCTAAATCCACAAAAGTAGGTTTCCAACCCTATTTAGTTAGATGCCCGACTAAGAAGCATCCTTGAAAACATACTCTTCCGGAATTCATAGGCACGACAACAATAACCCTAGGACCCTGAATAGATTGACCATAATAAATACTTGTTTATAGACCAAAGTGAAAGTTATTTTCTGAGTATGCACACTAATGCAATTCATGGAAACACATGATCGGTTGCATATTTAAGACCTGTTTGATATAGATTTTTTGAGAATAGATTTTGTGAAAAATGATTTTTCTGAAGAATTTGTGGTTAAAAAATAGAAAAAGTTATGGGTCCACGTGTAAAATTATTTTATTGGAAGAGTGTGGTTGAAAATTAGTTTGGAGAAAAATAAGTTTTACAGAATCCGTTCCAAACAAGGGCTTACAAATACGTGAAAACATCCTGCAGAATTTAGGAGACATATCAAGATAAGATGGGAAATAATCTGTAATTGAGTGATATCCAGAGCAAAGAAGGACGAAAATTGAAAAGTTACAAAGTTGTAAACTTCAACAATTATTCTTAAAATTTGAAAAGTGTAGTACAAAAAAGCCTTATTGGACTCCAGAAAGCGGGTTTCAGGAGTTCTATTTCACATTCTCAACTTCTTGTTGATTTCTAAATTATTTACAAATTCATATTCCAGAGTTACCAAGTTGCAATAGGATGAAAATTCCTAAGTTGAAGGGGGCCTTTTAAGTCTTGGAACAAGATGGTCAATCCCATGGCTATGAACACACTTGAATGAAGTCTAAAGTATCCACCTCGAGAAATCTATCAACTTACACATATATGAACTTTATATACATCAACCCAATTTCATAACTATATCTAGGTAGATAACCAAAAATCTGCCCGTTATACATCTTTTTTTTTTTTATAGGTCTGCACATTATACATAGAAACTAATCAAAAGCGGGTTGAACTAATACTTCTCCAAGGTTAGAGTTGTAAGGGAAGAGAAGCTAGGATTCAGTTTACAGACACTATGATGAAATCAACAAATGAAACCTTCATAACAAGGTCAACACAACCGTAGATCCCCTTCAATACATGTAGATTGTGTATCCTTCACACCCCTCAACAAGGATGAGTGGGAATGGCAGAAAGATTCAACAAGGTAAAACAAAAAATAAAGTGGGTCAGCTGGTGGAATGGAATGGGGACTTTGAGGTGAAGTTTTGAATCCCACATCAGAAGGAACACAAGACGTCTCATGGGGATGGTGAGGTTTTTACTATGAAAGCTGCCTTAAATCAGGTGGTTTTGTTAGGAAGGGATCGAAACCAGCAGTCCTAGCTAATGGTTGTAGAAAAGGGAACTTTCAATGCTTTTGAATAAGAAATAAAATCATTTTATTATGACTGTCCTAAACTTCAGTCATCTGCCATCCCCTTTCTAAAGTTCCGATACCATCAGATAATCTAAAAGTAAAATATGGATCAGATGAAGGTGTTCGATTATTAAAATTTTCAATCATAAAATTTTGCAGTCCAGATTGTTTGCGTGCTCTCCCCCCCAGTTAAACATGTAGATTAGGTCATGACTCCAAAATCATAACACACATAATAGAAGACAAGCGTTGTATTTGCAAATCTCAAGTACTTGCAAGAACAGGAAAAATTATTCAGTTACACAAAAGCAACTAGTCTAAAATACCATCCGCTAGGGACTCCAATGTCTCCTAGAAAATTCATCATGGTATTCATGTAAGATTCTAGCAATAGAAAGCATGGAAATGATTCAGTGAGATATTGGAAATTGGCATATTTATATAAGTCACATAATAGAGAAAAGGATAATTTGAAGGTAGCATGAGAAAAGATATATTAAATTTGGAAGTTTTCACTGAGGAGGAAAAAGAGCATATTGCACATCATATCATGTGCACCAGCTAACGAACCGAAACCACACCAATAACTAAGATTGATAATCTATCAAATACTGATTTTAACTTTTTAAAATTTAACTATTCATGCAAAGGCCCTGTGAATAATGACTTGTTGACGGTGAATTTATGGAGTACCTCTTAAAATTGTTGAAAGGTTGTCGATTAAGCTATTAGCTCCCAGTAATACATTGCTAAAGGATATACCGACGGAGGTGCCTTCTACTCTC